ATTGATGTTATATGTATGCCTTTAATAAGTTTGTGAGAAATGAAATTGATGCATTGACTAGAAAAGCCTTTTTTTTTGTGATTTATGTAGTTTACTTCTTATACGTGCCATAATAGCATGTTATTTCTCATAGTGTAGACGACAATTAAATTTTATTTATTACTTGAGTAATGCACAAACATTATAATAAAATAAAGAAACTTTAATTGATAAAAAAAGTAAATAATATTTATTTGGAATTGTCCATATATCGTGAGTTCCTAAATGTGTATGTATTATATGTCTACAAAAGCAAAATGATTTGTTTAAGAAAATATTTCTCCAAATGCAGTTACATTGTGAATTATTTATGTGGATGCGATGTGAAAAAATAAAGATACAAAAGAAACCCATTTGTTTTTTTTTTTATAGAAAGGTAGCCATCCTCTTTTTTTTTCCTTGTCCAAATTATTGAGGGTTTTATAAATAACAAATAGCTAAAAACACTTTTAAGAACGGGTAAATCATGCGTTTTAGAATGGGTCTGCACCCAATCTATATTCACGTGACGTAATATTCATCTTTCCTTTTCCAGATTGGTTGTGATACTTTTGGCTCAAATAATGAAAATACACGTACAACCATAACACAATGACCTTGGAAAGTAAAGCCCACCACATATTAATTATTCGATTTTTTGATAATATAACAAACAATTCAAGAGTGTAGATTCATCTTACCACTGTAGCGAGCCATGAGTTTCATTACACCAATCCCATTTTCTGCACTCTCAGCTTCAACATGCACAACATTTATGGTATGCTGAGCTTCCTCTACAGCAGTATCAAAACCAAAGGACCGTGTAACAGCAGAAGCGAAATCAAAATTAGTTCAGAGAATCGAAGGAAACAAGTTTATTAGTGTACCAAAAGAAACAGAACAAAGAACACCCGTACTTTGAGTTGAATGGTGGTCTATTCACAAGAATACTTAGACTTGTTTATTTATTTCACGAATAACTTTACGATATAGCATTATTATTTTTTTTATCACTTCTAATTCATGTAACCTGGCAGTTGATCCTTGAAAAACATATTTTGTAATGGATGATAGCCACTCAAGTTTTGATTTGTGAAATCTTGGGATGCATGTGAAGAGCAAACACAAATTTATTGCATAAGAGTTCATAACATACTAAGATAATAACAAATTAGTACAAAACCAGTTCAAAGACAAGTTTCTTTAATAAAAAATGGAGGAGAGATACCAGAATATCCTTTATCACTTGTCTTGGAAATGCCAGCAACATAAACTTTTAGACCACGGTTTGTAATTTCCCACAAAGTAGAAAGACATAGATTCACTTTGTTCAACTGCTTTCAAGAAAGTACATCTCCTCAAAACTACATATATGCTATATGGATAAGAATATCAAATAGGCATATAATAACTTATGTTGGCAACATAAGATAGAGCCACTCGGTGACAAAATCGTTAAATAGGACACTACTTTCACCCGCAATTCCTTAATTCCTTATAATGAAACAATTATCTTACCAGTACTAATTCTCTACAAGAGATTTGCAAATGCTGATTCTCAATGATTTTCAATTTGTTTCCATAAAATATATATCTATGATACACTAACTCTTTATTGTGTAGCTTCACTGGGACATGGCAGTAAAAAAGTATATCTATTTCCTAAAAACAAAGAAGCCTACAAACAGAATTCCATACTTATGACTCAAGTAAATTCACATAGTATTACAGAAATGCAAATTTCTAAATAGAAACACAAAACCTGCCTCGTGATGGGGCAGGTGACGATCCTCAGGCGGGACAAATCATCGGCCAAAGAGGATTATAATTGTCCGACCAGGCCTCATTCACAGCACATCTACGCATTCTTTTTTTAGTCTGAAAAACCATCTATGCAAGAGATATAGTATTAATCCGTTAACCATCCATATCTGAACCAATTATGCTAAGCCTTCTGATTAAAGCTGAGAACTATTTGGGGCCTGCCCACCAGGCCTTGGCTTTTTCGGCCTGGAAATTCGCATCAGAATAGTTGTTGTTGGTGTTGGTAGCTCCACAAGCATAAATACTCTGCAAAAAGATATTGCCATAAAAAATTGATCCCAACAAATAAAAGAAGTATCTTCAGCCATTTTCTTTATCCAAGAGCTTCACATAACTTCATCTTACTAAATACAGAACACACTTGGATGTATATCCTCTTGATAGGAAATGTTTGATCATGTAAGAAACTTGACACATATCCAAAATGCAGACCATTTTCCATTATTATCTAATCCAAGCTCGATAAGCCACTCGTGGCCATGTAGGAAACCAAGGGCGTGGAAAAATAAAATTGAGTTTGTTTATAAACTAAAGAAATGTGAGCATTCATCATCTTAAATCACAAACCAATATAAAAATGCAAGAACCATTCAATTTCGTGAACATAAGGAACTTCACATTCACAAATTTTTGAATATAATTTAAGAGTGTCAGACTTTGCTCTCATACAGTATATAGGACCTGATGGATATTTTGCTTTCTCCCAACACACACAAAAAAAAAAAAAAAA